GTGGTGGCCGCTGCAGAGTAAGTGTTTCTGGGATAAAGCACTAGGGTTTGTAAACCAGCAGGAACAGTGTGACGAGGGCCTGGCCTGTGGACCCAGGGCATCTCCCCAGACAATTCACTAGACAGAGAGCAGTAAGGCTTTAAACCTACGCCTGGCAGATGTCCCTTAACCAAGTGTCAAACCCGCACCCTGGAAAGCTGGATGTGCAGACAGCTCACCCCTCCTGAACGGACACTGGGAGGGACCCAGCATCACATCTGGGGGCCCCTTGCTGGGAAGACTTGGACAAGTCCAGGCGGAGGACATGTACAGAACACGTGGCTGTGGGCCTCCCAGTGTCCAGGTCGTAAACAAGACAGACAGGAATAGTTGAGAGTCGAGCTCTGGAGTGAGAGTGAACGAAGGGGGGTGGGGACCAGTAGCCTGAGGCCAGGCACCGTGGGGACAGCCAATGGGCCAGAGCTAGGGCCCAGCAGCCACAGCAGCAGCCCGGAACCAGCACAGCGTGTGCGTGTGTGTGGCCCGCGTGCAGGCGGTGGCTGGTTCAGGAGGGTGGCACGTGAGCAAGGTTTCCCCAAGGAGCTGGACCAGGGCACGGGACAGCTGCATGAGCTCCCGGTCAAGAGGCTCTGGAGAAGGGTCCAGAATCCTGACAAAGACCAACGTCCAGGGGCTTCGACATCAACTCTGTCTCTCATTATGTGGGGCAACAAGGAGCGCAGACAACCAGACACCAGAGGCCCCATGGGCCCCAAAGCCCAGCCCCCACAGCCCTGAGACCGGAAGGACGAGACGGTACCCGGGTACCAGTGCTGACTGCTCCAAAAAGGACCACAGGCGGAGGTCCTGGAGAGAGAGGAAAGACAATGTGGAACAGAACTCAAAAAAAGAACATCATAAAAAGAACAGGATACTGGCCTGAAAGACACCGGTGGAAGCCCCAGACGACAGCCCCATGTCACCCTTCCAAGCTCAGAACTGAACTCAGTCCCATGGCTCAACTTCCAGCCCAACCAGAGACAGGCCTATGAGGTGAAGAGTAGCACCAGGTAACACTAGGGAGGCAGGCACTCCTTAGAACAACCAACCAGACAAGATCCAAGGGCAGCACGTGCCCAGGGATACAGCTTGGAAGGCAGGAAGGGGCAGGAGGGAAGGACGAAGAAAAGGGAAACACAGGGAGGAAGCGTGAAGGGAGCTGCTGCACGGCGGGGCTTGCAGTCAGTGCCAGGAAACCAAACGCATGAACTGCCGCACAGGAAACCAGTGTGCTCTGTAAACTTTCACCCAAAGTACAATAAAAAGTGAAAACCCCAGCCCCCAGGCTTGTCCCAGGATGAAGGGAGCTGTCCACTCCCGGCATTCTCTGGCTGCCCCCGGGGGCCACGTGGGTTCCCTGTATTCTCCTCACTTGTTGCGGTGCCGCCGAGCCTCACGGCCTGACTCATGGCGATGCACGTACCACAGAACGAAATGTTGCCTGGTCCCACGCCAGCTCCACGGCCCTTCCTTGCTGTGCTCGAGCCCCTGATCCCAGCCACCGTGTTGCTCCATCTTGTTGAGGGTCTCCCCCTTTCATCACTGACCCTGTTCTGCACTAAGCACGAAGTCCTTCTCCAGGGACCGGGCTCTCCTGACCACACGTCCAAGTATGAGAGACAAAGTCTGGCCATCCTCACTTCCAAGGAACGTTTTGGCTGCACTTCCTCCAAGTCAGATTTGTTTGTTCGTCTGGCCGTCCGTGGTGCATTCAATATTCTTCACCAACACCACAACTCAAAAGCATCAATTCTGAGTTCTGGTAAGATGGCGGACTAGGCAGAAAGACTGCACAGACCCTCTTCAACAAAGAAAAGGGGAACCAATTACCACAGACACAGAAGGTAATCCTGGAACCCTGAACCTTGAAGGCAAGGATATAGAAGTGGACTAAATCCCAACTAGCAGAAGAATTTGCATGAAAATACCAAAAAAGGAGACAGACGGAGCTGCGGTCTGGTAGCCATCCTGAGCGATCCTGATGGCACAGACAGCTTGGAGAGTGCCAAGTGGTGGTAGGACCTAAGTATTAACCTAAAAATCAGCCCTGCTAGCCAGGGACTGCATGGAGGACTGCTCTGGTGGCTGGGGAATAAACGGAGAAGGTGAAGAGAAATGCAGGCTGAGCTGTGGACTTTTGCTGGTCTGGAGGGCGCCGCCATTTTGAATGTTTAAAAGCAGCTTGACTATTTTGGATATTTAAAGAAACAGCGCTCTCGCAGATTCCTGGGGCTTAAGAACACGTTCTGCTTGCCAGCAACCTCAAGGACACCCTGGACCTGCAAGACTGAAAAGGTACGACATTCCTCTTGTTACTCTTATACTCCACACCCGCCTGGTGAACGGAGGTGCGACCATTCCCCAACTCCCACCTACCTTCTGGGCCCACAGGAACTCCATCACAGTCTGTGTGCTCAGATGGAGCCCGGGTGCCCTGCCCTGTCCTCCATTGACCTTTTTTTTCATTTTTAGTTTTTTCCTTTTTGCTTTATTTTTTCTGGTGATTAGTTTGCTTGTATTTGTCTGTTTTAAAACAACTATTATTATTAATACTTTTGTCCTTTTCACTATTATTCATATCATCCCCTCCCAGGTCCTAGTTTTCAGCATTTTTTCTTTGCCCTGTTCCTGGTTGAAAAAAATTTTTTTTAATTAATTAATTTTAATTTAAGGGTTTTTTTTCCCCCTTTTTTTCTCGTGGTTAACCCTGTTCCTTGTTTTTCTTTTTGCATTTTTCCCATTTTTTTCTTCATTATTCTCCTTCTCTACCTTTTTTCTCTTAGTGCCCTATCCCCAGATATTGCAGGTTTTCTTGTTTTTTCTCCTTCTTTTTCCATTTTTTCTTTTCTTGGTTACCGTTCTTGTGTGATTACATGGTGTGTTTTTTATCCATTGCTTTTAGATTTTTGATGGTTATTCAATTGTAGTTTTTGTCTAACTGAGTGGGAGACAACAACAGACCCCATAAGACACAACTGTACCCACATCTCCTGCAACTTCCCTTACTGAGAGAGAGCCACTACCTCCTTCTCCACCAATGGGCCAACGATAAAAAACCACCAAGAAGAGCCTGAATCACCCTTGGCTGCTCTTCAAAAGCAGTCAAAAGAGATCTAAATACAACAACGTCATGATGCCTCAGAGACAACAGACCATCACAGTCCATACAAAGAAACAGGATAAAGTGGTAGAAACAAGGGAGCAGGATACAGACCCAGAACACATCCCTGAGGAAGAAGCAGCATTGGAACTCTGTGATAAGGAATTCAAAAGAATTATATTTCGGTATCTTCAAAGGATTGAGAGACAGACCAAAGAAAACACAGAAAAAACCTTAGAAGAGTTTTGGAAGAAAATACAAGAACAAAATGACAAAATAAATGAAAAATTGGAAATGATTCTAAATGTACAGATAGAAATCCAGAAGATTAATACTAAATTATCAGAAATAGATAACACATTGGAAGGGCAAAGGAGTAGAACTGATGCGATGGAAGACAGAATTAATGAGAGGGAAGACAAATATCTGGATACTTTTTGCAAAGGGATCAATCAGAAAAAAAATCAAAACAAAATGAAGAAAGCCTAAGGTTCATGTGGGATACCATCAAAAGGAATAACTTACGTGTCATTGCAATTCCAGAACAGGAAGAGAAAAACAAAACCACTGAGAAAATTGTCCAAGATTTGCTGGAGGAGAACTTCCCTGATATTATGAAAGATGAGAATATATCCATTCAGGAAGTCCAACACACCCCAAACAGGATAGGCCCCGAAAGAAAATCACCAAGACACATCATCATCAAACTCATCAAAACCAAAAGCATCAATTCTTCTGTAGTGGTCCTTATTCGCTATGCAGCTCTCGCACGCATGGCGGGCTATTGAAGACACCAATGCTTAGAGCAGGCACGCCTTGGAAGTCTTCTGCAGATACGTCCAATACAATGTGTTGTTGGATTTCTGACTGCTGCTTCCATGGGTGTTGATCATGGATGAAGTGAAATGAAATCCTTGACTACTTCAATCTTTTCTCCGTTTATCATCATGCTGCTTATCTTACTAACTACTTATAGATAAACGCTCTTTTGTTAATTTATCCATTGCCGTTCTTAATATTTTTTGTAAATTTGAGTATATTTTTTTTTGTGTGTCCTTTATCCTAAGCCAGCACAGAGGCGAAGATGTCATAAATTTAAAATAATTAAAACACTTCCCAAAAAAGCAAAACCAAAACCAAAACCACACCCACTGTCCTGGAGTTGATTCCAACCCACAGCGCCCCCAGAGGACAGAGTGGAACTGTCCCACAGGGTCTCCAAGGCTGTCAATCTTCACAGAAGCAAAGCCCAAACCACACCCACTGCCTGGAGTCCATTCTGACCCACAGCGCCCCTAGAGGACAGAGTGGAACTGCCCACAGGGTCTTCAAGGCTGTACTGTCTACAGAAGCTGACTGCCTCATTTTCTCCAGCAGAGAAGCTGGTGGGTTTGAACTGCTGACTTTTGGTTAGCAGCTGAGCACTTAACCACTGCACCACCAGGGCTCCTTTTAAAAAGCAAAAATAACACATGATGTACGTATCAACTGTAAGTTGTGCGCAACACTGGCATTGAGCTGAAGACGACACTGTGTGCTGAGGACACCAAGGGCTGTTCTGGAGATTAACCCTGCGTATCCTGGATTCGGAATGGGATGCTTGCCCAGATCACGCCCCTTCCTTCTTCTTTGCTCTTCTTCCTGCCCAATTTAAACACTTACCTCCTCAAACCTGTCGCTCTGCCCTGCAACTGCATTATGACATTAGATCTGAGAACACCACACTTCCTCCACAGAACTGGTCACCTGCTGCAAGCCTGAGACCCAAAAGGCTGTGGGAAATTTCTCCTGCTGTCATTTTTGTATGATCTCAGGTTGGAAAACTGACGAGACAGGCAGCCAAAGCTCCTGCAGGCCATACCTTGATCTCTGTGATGTTCCCTTCCAGCTCGGTCGGGGTCTGCAGGGCCCACTCGTCCTTGCCCTCTGCCCCATGGCTGCTCTGGGGGCCTGGTGCTTTCCGCCACATGGTGACACGCCCTCTGTCGGTGCCGGCTGCCAGGAGACCTATGGGTGAGGACGGAGCTCACCCAGTGAGCAATGGGACCAACAAAGACTATAGAAGAGTCCCAACCCAAAGGGGAGAAAATGCAGAACTGATTTCAATTCTCATGGAATCCAGACTTTCTGGAGCCATGGAGGCTGGATGAACGCTACAGGTATTGCCTTGAGATCATCTTTAAACCTTCAACCTGAATATCCCCCGCAGTCTCCTTAGACCCAAACCACCGTCAGCTAAACTGGTAACAAAGTCTGCCCAGAGCACTGTGCTCTCTCAGGGGCCACCTCCACAAGACCAGAGCGACAACAGCCATTCAGGAGATTAGACAGGGTCCTCAGGGGCAGTGAGTTCTTGGTAACGGGTTCACGGTAACAAGGGGGGAAGAACTCAGAAAAGGAGGCTGCATCGGTGAGGAACGTGACGTACGCCACAGAACTGGCCACGGAGAAATGGCTGAGTCGGTGTGGGCTTCACTGTGTAGGTGCTGAACAGCAACAAAAGGAAGAAATTAAATAAAAAAATACGAGGGAGTACGAGTGGCAGCCAGTGCCCCGCTCCCCGCTGCGAGGGAATGCGGCCAGAGGCATGTGTGCATGTGTGTGCAAATGCTGCACGCATATGTGTGAGTGCGTGTCAGGGTGTGTGCATGCATGTGTGAGTACTGCATGTGTGTGTGGGTACATGTGTGTGAGTGTGTGTACGAATGAGTGTGAGCCTAAGTCTGTGTGTGAGCTTTTATGTGTGAGTGTAAGACGTGTGTGTGTGCAGATGCATGAGCACGTATGTGTGGGTGCATGTGTAGGTGTGTGAGTGTGTATGTGTGAGTGTGCATGCGAATGCATGTGTGTGCACACATGTGCGTGTATACGGAAGGTTTGCTGCTATTCTCTCTGGCTTCCTCTCTCAGAACCATCTGCCTTATTCCCCGCTGCTCCCCAACTGCACCAGCGCTTGGCAAACCTACCCGCCCAGCCACGGCTGTCAGTCGGTGCTGACCCACAGTGACCCCGGGGGCCAGCAGAACTGCACCACACACAGCTGTCCAGGCCGTCACTGCTCCAGAAGCAGATGGCCAGGTCTGTTCTGTGGCTGCCGGGTGGCTCTGAACCCCAAACTTGGTGTAGCCGTTGAACACAAATCGTTCACAGCACCCAGGGATCCCATCAATGCCTGCTGGGTGAATGTCAGCCCTGGCCCTTCCGGTCCATTCTCTCTGTCCTGTGTGTCTGTGTGTACACCTTTGTGCATGCACACACATTTGTACAAACACATGTGCATGTGCACATATGTCTAGAAGCACGTATCTTATGTGACATGTGTGTACACATTTCCACGCATGCCTGTGTGCCTTTTGCGAACACATGTGCACGTGTATGTGCATGTCCTGTGTGTACCTATACACAGAGACACATGTGAATTCACAAGTGCATATATGTGCACACATGCACAACACACCTGTGCATGCACACCTGTTTTTATGTGTGGTCACGCGGATATCTGTGTGTGGATGTGCACACACAAGTACAGGCACACATGTGCTCATGTGTGTGGTCACACGTGCATTTATGCATTGTGTGCCTTTATGTGTAGGCACACATGTGTGCACATGCATATATGTGTACATGCCCACATGTGCTGTTGCATTCACATGTGTGTGCACACTACCCCATACATACTGTCTTCTTCATGGGCCTTCAGAGAGGAATGGAGATAGTTGTGTGCACACTCAAGTGGGTCCCACTGCCAGGCACCCTGTGGCCCTTGTGGACGCTGACTGCCATGTGCTCGGTGGTGACTGACTGTAGCGACAGGGCTGGTGTCGCTTGCCAGGCCTGTGCAGCTTCCCTGAGGGAGCCTCACCTTTGGCTTTGCAGTAGGAGACACAGTTCAGATTCTCTCCTTTTTCAAAACCAAACTTCTCCTCTGGACTCAGGATGTAGTGCTCGCCTCGTTCTAAGTCCCAAAACCTGCAAGGGAAGAACAGCCCGGGCGAGCGGCGTGACAACCCATGCTCATGCTCAGAGATGCTGGTGTCCCTACGGACAAGACTTCAGCCATCAGGGAAGGGACTAGTCCTCTTGCTCCCCGACGTCAGGACTCATCCGTGCCTGCTTCATAGCTGGAGGAAGGGTTTTCTGTGAGATAGCTCAGATGTAACCATGCCACAGCGACAGCAAAGCGCCAGCCTCACACAGCAACAGGGGAGCAAGTCTCCAGTCTCACGCTGAGCTAAGTTGGCAGCCGCAGAGGAACACGCTGGGAGCCCGCTTACGCAGCTCGACACACTGGGCAGAAGTGTTCCCTGGGTGGAGGCCAGGAGGGGTGGGCCGTGCAGTGGGGCAGGGACACAAGACGAGGTGGGACGCGGGGTGGGGCGGGACAGGGGCTCTCCTCTGTTCTGTCCTTGGAGAGGGGAGCTGGTTACTGGACGTACCTTTCCCACGTGTGTGACACTGGAACGAAAAGTCCCCTCCGACTTGACCGTGAGTGGAGGGCTTTGTACCAGGGTCACCAAGAAGCGGGGTCTCACCTGAGCACTGTCTCCCCAATGGCCATGACCAGCAGGCTGCCCTCAATGAGAGCGATGTCGGCCCGGCAGCCTGTCTTCCCACTCAGCTTGACCTGCGGGAGTAGACGAGGCTGGCGTGGAGGAAGAGCACTGCTGTCCCCAGAGGCCAGGCTCTGGTCTCCACGCCTCCAGCAAGCACTGCCTTGAGGCCCTGCCGAGCCGGGAGCACCATGGGGTGGTACAAGCTCTGAGGGATGCCACGGGCTTCGGGACACAGGTGAGCTACTGCAAATGTCGCCTGTATGGGACACCGTCGGTGACGTGGCAGGTACCGACAGCGGGCATGATGATTCTGGAGTGGAACTGTGGCCGTGCTCTGGGCAGGTCCCCCGTCCCTGCTCTACAGGGAACAGTCACTGCCCAGCACCCCCGGCCCATGAGGCTGAGCGAGGATTTGAACCTAGTGTGACTTCACTGCCGAGCTGCAGGGCAGCCAAAGCCAAGCAGCACCAAGGAGACTGCCAGACCTGTGTGCTAACCGGCACAGACGTCCTCCAGAAAGCACAGGTCTTTCCCAGGACCAGGGACTCCTACGAATAAACCAGGGACGTGACAGGCTGGGGCAGGCAGGGGCCTCAGAAGTGGCAGGTCCCACACTAGCCCCTCCGTGGAGCACAGGCGTGCCCGTGTGCTGAGCCGTCCAAACACACCTGGTATTTTTCCAGCAGCCACATCAGTGCACCCGCTTGCCCACGGGGGTGAGTGAAGCGCCCACCAGGTGCAGCGTCACGGCAGGTGGGCTGAGGCAGCACGCAGACCGCACCTGCAGTCCCCACTGGTGAGCACCAGGTGACGATCGGCATGCCTGGCAGCCTTGAGCCGGCACGGTGAGAAGATGGGACACCACCAGCCCACCTCCACCCCCATTTCTGTTGCACAGCGTGTGGGACCCCACGAGGTGGGTGGGGCTGGTGTTGCTCTCACACCCCTGTACCTACGACCATGACCTTGTTTGGCTCCAGAGTCTTTACAGAGGCTGTCAGTGAAGCTAACACACCAGAGCAGGGAGGGCCCTAACGCCATCTGAGTGGGGGTCTTAATGAGGAGATGCAGCCCAGGAACACAGGGAGGCAGAGATCGGAGCAATGTGGCCATGCGCCAAGGACCGCCTGGGACCACCAGAAGCTGGAAGGGACCAGGAAAGAGCCCCAAGCCTCTGCAGGGGTGGCCCTGTCGGTGGCCTGATTTTGAACTTGTCTCCAGAGCTGCAAGGATGCACTCCCGCGAGGACGCGTTCTGATTCTTCCAGCCCATCTGTGGTGTGTGGTTGCCCACCCCCACCCACCTTCATGACCTCCTGGGCCTCGCCTTCAGACGTCACCGTGGACAGAGACAGGACCAGGGTCTCTGTCACCACCACCAGCGCCTCCCTCTTCTCTATGTAGAACAGCGTCTGGACAGGACCGTCGGCGGACGCCACACAGACCGTCTTACCCCTCTCATCCACGAAATGCACGGTACCTGAAGGTGAAAACAGGTGTTACCCAGGTGTGACAGTGGCTCCTACATCAGCCAATGACATTTTGAGTGGCCACTGTATGTTTGGGGAAAAATTTGAAGCCAAGACCTCCCCCTCCTGGAGCAGAGCTGAGCACCTGGCACATAGCAGGTGACAACAGGAGTGACGTGTGTGCTGGCCACACAGTGAGGGTCAACCTACAGCTGCTGACAGGTGGGCCACCATCACACGTTTGCAAAACACACAAATCTCCAAGTGTCTCTGTGAAAACAGAGTGAAGCAGCACCTGGGACACTGGACACGAAACTGCAGGGAGCGGACAAGCAAACTTATCAAGGAGCTAGGCGCAGTGGGTGAGGACGCGGCTGCTGGCCAAAAGGTCGGCAGTTCAAACCCTGTGGGGCAGTTCCACTGTCCTCTATAGGGGTGCTATGAGTCAGAATGGACTCCACAGCAGTGGGTGGCCTTTGGGCTTTGCTTCTGTGAAGACTGACAGCCTTGGAGACCCTGTGGGCAGTTCCCCTCTGTCACACGGTCACCATGAACCAGAACCGACTTGACAGCCCCCAGCAACATCATCAACCAAAAGGTCAGAGGTTCAAACCGACCTAGCAGGGCCTCAGAAGAAAGACCTGGCCGTCTGCTCCTGCAAAGGTGACAGCCTAGGAAACGCCATGGGCAGTTCCACTGTCACGCAGCTCACCATGAGTCCAAACAGATTCGATGGCTGTGGGTAATGGCACTATCTCAATGAGGTATCGCCAACGATGACAACAATCACCTATCTCCGAGGCTGGCAAGCACGCAGCCTGGTGGTGTCTTTTGCTGGAGCACTATCTGTCAGTCACAGCTAACGAGGTGCCCCAAAGTACCCGACGTCCTCCAACCGTGACACCCCACAGGGCCCCCGAGTGCCCGATGTCCTGCGACCCTGACGCCCTGCATGGCCCCAATCACCCGACATCCTGTGACCGTGACGCCCCGCACGGCCCCTGAGCGCCCGACGTCCTATGACCGTGGTGTAGAGCCCTCACCATCCACCAAGCTGATGAAGAACGACAGCCCCTTCTGAGGCCCTGTTCTCAGGAAGCTTCCAAAGCTGCTCTTCCTCCAGTTGAACATGTCCAGTGCCTTCTCATCACCACTCACGGCGGCCTTGGCCAACTGCACCAGGTCCCTGGAAGCAATGGTGGCCTGTGACATGGCAGACTTTCTGCCCGCTGCGTGGGACGGGGTTTAACTACAGACCAGCTGTAGCCTCTACTTGGGGGGCGACTTCCACTTGGTCCCCAGAAAGCACGTCTGCCCCCAGCAACTTGGAGCCCAGTGAGCAACTAACATAAATGCACAGGTGGCATGGGAGCCTCCTCACTCAGGGACCCAGGTGGCGTAGAGGCTACACACTCAGCTGCTAGGCGAAAAGAT